TGAGCTGGTGAAGGAAGCCGGCGACTGGTTCACCTACGACAAGAACCCACGCGCCCAGATCTTCCGCCGGAACCAGACGCTGGTCCGCGACCTGGACTCCATGATCCGCCTGATGAGGTGGGTGCTGGGGACCCCCAAACCTGGGTGTCCCCCACACCTCCCCCAGGGATTTGCAACCCTCGGGGGTGATTTTTTTCATCATTATAAATGTAAAACATTTTTTTCCCCACCTTCACCACGACTCTCCCTTGGCCGCTTTGCAGGTCCAACAACTACCTACGGGACCCGCTGTCGCGGTGCAGGGGCTGCGACCCCCCCCAGAACGCGGAGAACGCCATCTCCGCCCGCTCCGACCTCAACCCCGCCAACGGCACCTACCCCTTCCCTGCCCTGCGCCAGCGCTGCCACGGCGGCACCGACATGAAGGTGGGGGAGATGGGGAAGCCCCAGGGGGACTGGGGGGGAGCTGGAGGTTCCCTCTTTGGGGGTGCACCCCACTCCGACAGCTCCCCCCCAGGCTGCGTTGCCCCTTCCCCGTGTTGACTTGCACCCCTGTTTTTTCTCCCCCCTCCCAACACCAGGTCACCTCCTCGGGCATGGCCCCCACCTTCGGGCTGGTGGCCGCCAGCGGTCCCACCTGGGACGACGTGCCCCCCTTCCGCTGGAGCACGTCTCCCTGCAGCGCCCTGCTGCACATGGGCCACCCCGACCTCTGGACTTTCCCCCCCGTCAAGGTCCACTGGGACTGAGCGGGCACCGCTGGGCTGAACCCATCCGTCCGTCCATCCATCCGCGGGCGTCTGTCCTGCGTGGGGACCCCTTTTAGGGGAGCAGCTGGGTGGTGGGGGGGTCGCAGCACTACCGGCTCTCCCCTATCCCCAGGGGACTGGCTTTGGGTGCAAGGGGTGGTCCCCTGCCCCCCTGGCTCTTTCTGCTTCTGCCTCTTGCTGCCGCATCCCTGCGGTGCCGGTTCTTCCTGCGCAAGGGGCCGTGCCCCCTCCCCGCCGAGGGGCTCCCGCCCCGGGTCTAAGCCTGGTTTGGGGGGGCTCTTCCCAGAAAAGGGTGGGTCCTGGGAGGCTGGGGCTCGCCCACAGGGCAGAGAGGAGGGGAGTGAGCTGGTTTGGCTGTGACAAATAAAGCGGTCTGCGTGCAGCGGCGGTGGTGGCTGTGCTTTGCGCTCTACTGAGAGTCTCTGGTGTCTTACATAAGGGTTGGGCTTACGCAGCAGTCTTCTCCCCTCAAATTAACAGGGCGCTCCCTACTTCTTCGCTGCCTCCTGGCCCCTGTGGGAGGGTGTGCAGCCAGCCAGACCAGGCTCTTTCGGGGTGCAGGCTGCTAAGGTTTCTTTGCTGCTGCATCAGGCTGGGTGTGCGGTGTGGGGCAGAGCTGCTGAAACAGGGGAGCCCGGGGGGTGGGCTGGAGGGGGGAGGTCCCACCGCTCGCCCCCCAGGACGGGGTGACCGTCCTCAGTCTCTTTTGTCTTCCCCTCCTCTGCCACCTGTGTCCCCCCAGCACCGAAACCCCCGTTGCAAAATCCTCTTACCGCAGCTCCCTTGATCCACTCCGCCTCGTTAGGAATAACGAGGTCATTACTGGGGGATTAATGAGCTGGTGCTCGGCAGCGCTTTGAAGGCGCCAGGTTCCCACCAGGGCTGGGGGCTGCTGGGGGCCCCTGCAGCTCCCTGGGGCTGCGCGGGTCTGGGTTGCAGCAGGTCTGGGCTGTTGGGGTGCTGGCACCCCAAAAGCTGGGATGGGTGCCCTGGACAGAGTGGGGTGTCCAAAACCTGCTGTGCTGGGGGGATGAGGGGGTTGTAGGTAAGGTGGGCGGGTGGCAGAGCCTGTGCCCGTATCCCCTGGTGTCCCCATGGGGCGGGGGCTCCCGGGGCAGGGGGTGCTGCTCGGAGGGTCCCTGTGCCTCAGTTTCCCTGGGTAGGAGGAGGTCTCTGCCACCGAGTGACAGGGCAGCGAGGAGGGACAGGCCCATCAATGCCAAGGACGGGGCACACTGGAAATGCAGCAGCAGCTGTGTTGCTGCTTCCCTTCTTTTTTTTTTTATTTTCTTAAAAGCAGAAAAACAAACAGAAGTGGTTAAGTATCACCTCGGCTGCAGCAGCCAGTGGCTGAGGCCATGTCACCCAGGGACCCTGGCCAGGGGACGTGACCAGGTGACAGCCTGGCGTCGCCTTCCCCGGGGCAGGAATGGAGCTGATGGGGAGGTGGGTGTGAGGTGGAAAAGGACCCCGGAGCACCCCAGGGCTGAGCCAAAACGTGGTGCCCTTGCCGAGGTGGTCCCTGGCCTCCTCTCTGTGACGGGGGGGGTCCTTGCACCCCTTCCCCTGCGCTTGTCCCCAGGGCCCATCCCTGTTCCTGCCAGAAGCACTTGCAGCCCCTCTGCCCACTGTGAGATGGGGGGTCGCTCCATGGGCCCCCAGGGGAGCTGGAGCTTGTGTGCCTCCCCCCACCTTGGTGCCCCCATTCAAGAAATCCTCATCATCCCCCACATTTCCAGTCCCCGATGTCCCAAAAGCAGCGTGGCTCAGTGCAGAGGCGCCTGCTCTCTGCAGGCAGCACTGTGCTTCTGTGCTGACCCTGCCCGTGCTGCGTGCTGTTCACTCTGAAGCCTAATGATGGTGGAAGCACCAGGGATTAGTTAGTTCATCACCACCAAAGGCCCATCAGGGACAGGGCTGTCCTGGAGCTGGTGCCCTGCTCGGTGCCTGTCACCAGTGATGCTAACAGGGGGGCTTTGCAGCACCGTTTGTGTCAGGGGACCAAAATCGCTAACAGGGGGGCTTTGCAGCACCGTTTGGGTCAGGGGACCAAAATCTGGTATTCTGGGGCCTGTTTCACTTCTCTCTGTCTGGCAGTGGGGCAGAGCCGGGGCAGGGAGCAGGGGGGTTCCCAGTGCACCCCTTTTGGTGGTGTCGCGGCTGTGTCTTGTGTGTGTGCCAGCTCATGTGCGGTGGCCCCCCCCTCGGGACCCCCGTGGAGCCACTACGGAAGGGGACGGAACTAACCTTGTGCCAAAGCGTCTCTGCTTTCAGACACCGCCAGGGACAAATCCTCTGCGGCTGCGGGGTGAGGAGCCAGGGACGGACCTTCCTCCAGATCCCACCTTCCTCCTCCTCGCCTGTTGAGGACAGAGCCAGCCCCTCTGTGCAGAGGTAGGGCACGTGTTGGGGGGACCCTTACCCTGGAGGGTGTCACCAGGGCTGGGTGACAAGAAGGGGCCCCGGGGTGTCCTGGAGGAAAGGGGGGGGCTCTGCCTGCTCTGCCTGGGGGCCGCTGGGTGCTGCTGGACCTTGGGGCTCGGCTGGACTCTGGCTGGGTCCCTCCGGGCAGCCCCAGCTCCAAGGGATGCTCATGGGGCACCTGCGCAAGCTGTGCAGGGACCGTCCGTCCCCCCCCAGACCCCTCCTGCCTGCGGGGTGCCTGGCTTGGGTTGGGCCCCCCTGGGGACATGAGGCTCAGAGGAGGGCCCAGGGCTGCTGCAGGGTGGGGGGACTTGGCAGGGCAGGCATAGGGGTGTGATGGCTCATATGGAGGCGACTGGGGGTGTCTTAGCTGCCCGCTGGGGATTTCGGACATGCAGGCTACCCTCGCTACACCAGGGGTCCAGGTCAAATGGGCAAAGTCCTCAAATCTGCTGGGACATGTTTCTGGCTGGACCTGAGAAGAGCCTGTGCTTGTGCCCAGCTGGCGGAGGCAAACCCTTAGGGACCCCCAAAGTCATTTGGGAGCTGCCTCTCATTTTCCCCTGTCTCCTGGGCACCCACATCCCATCTCCTGGGCATATGAAGGCTGCTGGGATTTGGCTGCTGGGGCCGCATGTGGCTGTCCCCGCTGGGGCACCCCGCACAGTGCCCGGGCCACGGCTGGGCGCTTTCGGCACGGATCCAGCCCTGTGGTTGGAAAAACTCGCCTGGCGGTGAGCAAACAGTCAGGGCAAGGGCAATGTTTAACCCCTGCCCCTCGCCCCGCTGTGCCGCTGGACACGGGGACTTGGGGACACCGGCACGGCCCCTCCGACGTCACCTCTTCCTCCTCCATCCCCCAAACTCTGCTGCGGCTGCAGGCGAGGAGCTGGGGACACGCAGCGAGGCCTCACAGGACACCAGGTAATCCCCGCCACGGGGTGGCCCTGGCTGAGTTAGGGGACAGGGAGTGCGGGTGGGAACTTGGGGAAACCAGGGGCTTGGGGACCAGGAGGATGGGGGACAGGGTGGCCCAACTTGTACTGGGGCTCTGGCAGGGAGGGCCCGTCGCTGCGCCGCAGGGCTCGGTGCTGCTGCATCCCGGAGCCGGGAGGGGACACTGAGGACAGCCTTGTCCCTCCCGAGGAGCTCCTGTGCCCTGTACCGAGCCCGGGGTGGGCAGCGGGGCTGCGTGGGGTGTCCCCGCGTGGAGCAGCGGGTGCCTCCCGCAACCTCTCCCGGGCAGAGCATCCATCGCCGGGGCACCATGGCAGCCCAGCCCGGCAGGGGCGAGAAGCCCTTCCACATCGTCTCACCCGTCCTGGAGAGCCTGCCCCTGTCCCAGGCGGCGGGCACCAAGGTCTACATGAAGCTGGAAAACGTACAGCCCACAGGCTCCTTCAAGATCCGAGGCATCGGCCACCTCTGCCAGGAGGTGAGCGCAGGCACTGCGTGGGCAGGGTGCTGCCTGTGCCCTTATGGGGGGCACGGCGGGGGGACACAGCTCTCCCCCTCCTTCCTTCCTTCCTTCCTTCCCTCCTCTTTCACGCTCCTTCCTTCCTTCCTTCCTTCCTTCCTTCCTTCCTTCCCTCCTGCCTTTCAGGCTGCCAAGAAGGGCTGCCGCCACTTCGTTTGCTCCTCAGGTAATTGGGCCCCGAGCTGAGGCAGGGGGAGCTATGGGGGATGCTCATGAGTAATATGGGAGGTGCAGGGGGGGCCGAGCCCTGCCTGACCCCCGCTTTCCTCAGGGGGGAACGCGGGTCTGGCAGCGGCGTACGCAGCCAAGAAGCTGGGGTTGCCGGTCACCGTCGTGGTCCCCAGCACCACCGGCCCTGCCACCGTGCGCAAGCTGGAGGAGCTGGGGGCGGAGGTGGAGGTCTCCGGCCAGGTACCCCCGCAGCAGCCCCCTAAAACTGGGATCTGGGGAGACCAGAGGGGACTGAGCCTGAGCTTGGCCTGCTCTGCGATGCCGGGGATGCGCATGGCAAATCCCATCCCAAAAAGTCCCCCTCCCGCATCACCTGCACCTGGCATTGCGGCAGGGTCACCCCGGGGACCCCCACCTCAGCCCAGTGCCCTGCGTGGGTTTCTGGTGTCCCCTGGCCCCACGGTGACAAGGCACTCATCTCCGGGGTGCAAGGGCTGGATGTGGCCCCGCTGAGCTCCCTTCCCCCCCCCCCAGGTGTGGGATGAAGCCAACAGGAGAGCCCTGGGCTGGCACAGGACTGAGGGCTGGGTCAGCATCCA